CTGTAATGCGCTGTACATGGGGCTACCCCTGTGCTTAGTTCGGAAGCTTCAGGTGGTCCAAAACATGGCAGCCAGGCTTATTTCTGGTACATCTAGGAGGGACCACATTACTCCTGCTTTGAGGTCCCTCCACTGGCTGCCTATTAGCTTCTGGGCGCAGTACAAGGTGTTGGTTATCACCTTTAAAGCCCAAATGGCTTGGGTCCAAGCTATCTCAGGGACCGCCTCTTCCCATACAATCCTCACTGTGCCCTCTGGTCCTCTGGGAGGAACCAGCCTCAAAAACTCAGGCTTGCGTCGACCTCCCAGAGGGCTTTCTCTGCTGTCACCCCCAAACTCTGGAACGACCTGCCGAACGAGATCCGTCAGCTGATATCCTTAGACAGCTTCAAAAAGGCTGTTAAGATGGATCTCTTCTGGCAGGCCTTCCCAGATTAATTATCTCAGCCTTGGGCTTCCCGGTCCCCTCCGGTCCCCTCCGGTTTTCCGGCCCCCTTAGGTTACCCGGCCCCCTTTTTCCTCTCGTGGCTCCATCATTCTGATGGATGAGGAATGTTTTAGAGGTTGGCCGGGTTTTGTTTTGTGTTGTTGGTTTAGAAATGTTTTTATAAATGTTTTGATTATTTTAATTATGAGATGTTTAATACTGTTTTAAGGGGTGGGTGGGTTGGTCTTAGGGGTTATATTGTATGGGTTTTAATGTAAGCTGCTTGGATTGTCTTTTTCAATAAGTGAGATATAAATAAATTTTATTATTATTATTATTATTAGAAATTTGAGCAAAGCAAAACTCACATCCATCATTTTAAGACCCTGGAGGGCAAAAGATAAAAAAATGACTGTATAGCCAATCTTACGGGGGGAAATTTCCACAGTTAAGATGAACAGATTTAGCCAATCAAGGCTATTATGGGTCCAGGTATTTCTAGCATCCTGTCATCTCCATAAACACTATGGTGTTTATTACATGGGTGGTTTGGGATTTTAAACAGTGATTAACCCAAGAAAATCACACAATTGACATCAAAACACAATTAAAATGAGATTAATACAAGAGCCATTACCCAGTGAATAACTAGGGAATAACCAGGCAATAAATAATGTCATGTGAAAACCATTAGCACAATTGCAGGATTATCATGGGTTAATCACCGTTTATACTTACAATTGTCCCCCGTGTGATAAATTCCTATGACTGCATCTGCACTGCAGAAATAGTTCAGTCTGATACTACTTTAACTGTCATGGCTCAGTGCTATGGAATTCTGGGAAACATAGTTTTGTGAGATATTTAGCCTTCTCTGTCAGAGTTCTGATGCCACAACAAATCCCAGAACCCCACAGTGATGAGACATGACATTTAGGGTGGTGTCAAACTGGATTATTTCTGTAGTGCGGATACAGCCTATGAGACATTTTCTTATTAATGCAGACTTGAAACTTCTTGGTGGTGATGAACTCACATGTCATACTACAGGCTAGAATACATGTAAAGGTAAAGGTATCCCCTGTTGACAAGGATGTCAAGTTTTGTCTGACTGTAGGGAGCGGTGCTCATCTCCATTGCTAAGCTCAAGTGCCAGCAATGTCAGAGACTACTCTGTGATCATGTGGCCAGCAGGATTGCACAGAACGCTGTTACCTTCCCACCAAAGTGGCCCCTATTTATCTACCTGCATTTGCATGCTTTCGTGTTGGAATAATGTTCCAGTGAAAATGCACAATGTGGTGAATGGCATGATGACTAAGCATTTGGCCACTGCTGAGTCATGCAGCATCTAGGCTGATGAAACAAGCTGATGAAACAGGAGGTGACATAATGACAGGG